GTGCCAATTCATGTCTTATGTGCAGTGAACCCACATACCCTCTCCCCTGGCAACATATTCTGCCCCCAGACCTTATTCTCTCATGTACTGATTGTTGTTATGTCCCAGTCTAACGTTACCCACCCCTTGTTCCGGCTCTTAGTGTTCAGCACTGTGATCTACCCCTGCCATGTAGGCCCGCAGCCCTATCTTTAATGTGTGCCAGTGAGAGGTATTCAGTGGTGTTCACTGCTAACTGCTCTAATGCAGGTCTCCACTTGTATTACTTGTATTCACTCTCCCTGTTCCCCCTTCCAAACCGCTTGGTCTCAGCACCCTTGCTTACCTGCAAGTAAGCCGTGTCTATGGAGGTCCCTCAGTAGTCATTCCTCACCTGTACAGGAATCCTCCTGTCCCTGTTCGCCCTCTCTTGTGCCATCCCCCAGGCTGCCTGTAAACCCACAAATTTCCAACCCAAGTTTCCAGAATGTGCCGCCAAGCGGCCCAAAGGCCCTGCTTGGCAAAGAGAACTCTGCATGGCCCAATCTGAGTTTCCCCTAATTTTTTTTAAACCTTGTAGGGCTGGATTTTGTCAATGAAGTTATCTTTATTAATTTAGTGGTTTTATAATGTATAAATAAAGCAGTGCATTTTAAATGTTTTAAAGTGTTTGAACTGTTAAAGGAGAGTGTATGTCCTAGCAGAGAATTGGGAACAAATGCCAACCTACTTTCTGTTTGGCTTCATTTCATGTCTTTACACTGGAACATGTTACTATGAAGTGAAATGAAAAATACCTTTTATGACAATATTTTCTGCTACGTAAAACTTACAAACGACTTTTCCTCCTTATACCTTGCAATCAAGAGATTGTTTAGTCACAAATGTGCAAAAACATTGCTCAGTAGCTCTCTGTGCTATGAATCCCTCTCATAGTATCTGTTGCAATGTGTGCAATCCAGTTCATTAATTGTTATTTAATTCCCTAGGAGCCTGTCCATAAAAGGTAACTTTAACTTGATCATCAGGTTCCATAGATTTTTATTGAGGTGCAGTCTGAGTTTTAGTTGTTGTCTTCTAAGGTGGGCTCAAGGGTGCTTGTTCTAGGATTTTTAGGGGAATATGTTTCTTGAGAAATTTATTTCATCTCTTTGTGCTTGTTTGAGAGTTTCTTCACATCTTCATTATTATTACAAATAGTTATAAAAAATCATGTGAGCAAGTGTTCACTGCTTTACTTAGGGCAAGATAAGAAAGTACCTGAGTATTATCAGGAGTGATTTAGTTTAGATTGCAGTAATAATTTTCTGGAAGTATATTGACAACTTATTATAAAGCAAGTGAATATGAGATAATAAAGGTAGTTCAGTTTCACTTTAGGCATTTTGGTAGTACCCAAAATTATGAGGGATAGGACAAGGTTTGCTTCTGTTTGCTCCATTAAAAAAAAAAACTGTTAGTAATTTATAATATCAAAAGTGCTCATCTGTGTTTTTCTGAGAATTATAATTTAAGTATTTAATGTTTTATTTTCTGCTTTTTAACTTGTATATATGTTTGTGAATGGTAGCGTAAGGGAGAATGAGAACGAGAGATACTTGATCTGCTGGTTCACTTCAAAATTGACTATAAGAGCTGGAACTCAGTCATGCTAAAGCCACAAACACAGGACTCCAGCCAGGGCTCCCATAAGGATGACAGGGACCCGAGTATTGGAGCGGTTATCTTTGCTCTCCAGGTGCACAGAGTAAGGGGTTAGGATCAGAAATGGACCTGGCACCTGAATGCATGCACTTCAGTATGCAATAGGAGTGTCCAAGGAACATTTTGGTGGTTCATGTGAATGCCTGCCCCTAACCTACTTTAGAAAGCTTTAATAGAAGATTAAGACAGATAAAGCATGTGCATTTATGTGTGTTGTTAAAGCTTCAAGCTAACATTTAGAAATTAAAAAGAAAGGTACTGAAGACATCAGAGACAAAGCAGGTATTTAGCCTAAACATTCGGACCTTTGTTTTTTTCTTTGAAGTTGCATGGGTTCAATTCTTGGGTCCTGCTCCTGACTTCAGCTTCCTGCTGATGTCAACCTTGGGAGGAATCGAAGTAATTAGGTTCTTGCCAGTTGTGTGGGAGACTTGTATTGCTGTGTGTTTCCTGGCTGCAGCCCCCACATTTTGAGTATGACTCTGTCTCTGCCACTCGAAGAAAGAGGAAAAGAAAAGTAACAGAAGTAACTGATGAGAACAAGCAGGAAATAACAGAAGTACCCATCACCATCTGTTTGCTATTCTGTATTCCTTCCTACAACAGAACAAGATGTCCCAGTATGGGCTGAATGAATGATGGACAGTAACTCTGCCAGTGGTACCAAGGTATTTCTAAGAGCTTTTAGCTCACATACATTGAGCTTAAGTTTAATTTAATCTTTATTAATTGGTGAAGTCAGAACCAGGAATGCAAAACAAAATCCAAACCTGAGGTAACAGCAGAGAAAGCTTGGCAGTTACACACAGACACAGAGGACTGGAATTCTTACTTGTTCTCTTCCCCAATGCCTGTAAAAGCTAGGAGCTTGGAATTCAAATCTGGGTTTCTCCTGCAAGTAGCATATCCTCACCTGGGATGCATCATCAGAAAGCTGGAATAGAGCATGGAGCTGGGATTTAAAAACAGATACTCTGATATGGAATATGGGCATTTTAAGTGACATCTTGACTGCTAGGGCAGATATGTTCCCTTTTCTGATAATAAACAGTGAAGTCTCTTCTTGCTTGAATTTACAGATTGTTCGCTCTGCCTCTTAACATAGGTGGAGCCCAACAATCTGCTGTTGACCCGTATCTCCTCTTTTTCGGTAGTTTTAGTAAGCCTCCTGTCCTCTGCTGTGGTAGGCATCTGGATATCATTGATGTCTAAAATTCTAGTCCTACTCTCTTTTGTGCTCCATTTATTGCACTTATGTTCCATTTGGTCACTTTTAATGTTTTCCCTGTCCTATTTCATACATCCAAAAAAACCCCACTATCTTATTGATTTATATCTTCTGAGGATGCTCTTACATGTTCATATCTACTCTGGCAGTCTGTCTGAAACTCTGTGGTGTTACATTTTTGTTTATTTTCATTCTACCCTCAGCTGTAGCTGTGTTGTATCTTCATCATTTGCATGTGATGTGTGTGTGTTGTAAGGATATTTCTGATAGATTGTTAGCTCTCTTTCTGCTCTGTGTCTCCGTTCTAATAAATCTAAGAGAAATTGTACTGAAGCACAGATCAGATGGTATCCCTTTCTAGATTAAAACCTTCAACGATTTCTTAGTATGTGCAAAGAGTAGCTTGAACTCTGTTTGCTTCCCTCCTGCAAATTTTATTGTTTTATTTTACTTTTATCTCTCTTTATACTTTCTTCCTTCTGAGTCTTTTCTCATGTTTTAGCTTCTACCTGATCGTTCTCCTGTGGTTACATTTCCAAATCTCATCTATCCTGCCAGATTTGTCTTCCAGCTGGAAGTAATCTTTTCTTCATAGGGACTGCCAAAGGTTTTCTCGTTTTTTTGTTTGTTTGTTTTTTTGTTGTGTGTGTGTGTGTGTGTGTGTGTGTGTGTGTGTGGTTAATATCTTTTACTGTACTTTAGTTAATTATATGCATAACACTGGTTGTTGCCACTTCCTAAGTTACTTGAAGTCTGGATTAATGTCTCATTTCATCTATTTTCTATATAGCTAATCTGGTAGATACAATGTTCTTAAGATATGTTTTTTAGTAAAGGTGTTAAAAACTGTCTTGACTTTGGGTATTTCTTGGTTTAGGAAAGGAACACAACTTTTGGAAGAAACTTGTATGCTACAAGCTGGAAATTTGTTATGTTCCATAAAGATCTCGTAGAAGTAAATTTGCTCAAAAAAAGGGGGTGGGTGGGTGGAGGAAATTAAATAAGTAGGTGATTCAAAGCATTTTCAGACAGATGATACCTAACATTTAAAGCTCCCTAGGGGCAATCGAGGTGGCGTGAACAGCTAATCCTCTGCCTGCAAATGCTGGCATCCCTTATGGGTACCAATTCATGTCATGGCTCCTCCACTTTCAATCCAGTTCCCTGCTTGTGGTCTGAGAAGATGGTGGAGGATGGCCCAAGGCTTTGGGCCCCTCCGATTACGTGGGAGGCTTAGAAGAATTGTTGTACCTAAAAGAGGTGATACAGAGGCGCACCCACACTGAGATTTGAAAGTCTTTTATAGCCTGCAATGGAGAGGGGACTCATGCCCAATGACTTCTAGATGTTGAACTACAAATTAGAGAATTTTATAAAGGCAAAAGCCACAAACTGAAAGGCTTTAGCAGGATTGAGCTAATGCAGAACTGCTTTAGGAATGAAAAACTGTTAATCACTAACTTTGCAAACCTTTGTTGCTGTGCCCTTTATTGTCAAACCAATTGAAACCCATTTGCCTCCTAATCAAGCTCACACAGCCTAGCCAAGGATTCGAGAATTCTTGCCAAGCAGAACCTAGTTTTCTGTGGGTTACTGTCTAATGGGGATGGGGGTTGAAGGTAGGGTATGTCATCTTGAGATTGAGCCCAGCTCAACACGGAGTTCCTTATGGCAAATCTGTTATTTCAGAGTCTCCTGGCTTCCGGCTTTGCATCAGCTCAACTCTGGTTTTTGTGGCCATTTGGGAAGTGAACCAAGAAATGGAAGACTTCTCTCAGGCTTTCTTCTGGCTGTAAAAATCTGCCTTTCAAATAAAAATAAATTTTAAGGAAAAACTACCTAAACATATATTCATTTATGTAGTTATTTTTATGAACCTAATACACAGGAATATTGTTTTTATGTAGTATCTTTACAGTAAACAGCTCATTGTTTTATTGATTTCGTGATAACCTTGATTTGTTTTAAGCAAACTGCTTGATTCTTAGATGGTGTTTTCTCCTCATACTTCTTTTATTGTATGGTTTATTTTATTTTTATGTTATTTGTGTTGTTAAAATATAAATATAAAATATGCTCTGTTTTACAGGTATCCTGGTCGGATATAGGGGGACTGGAAAATGTCAAACTAAAACTGAAGCAGGCTGTGGAATGGCCTTTGCAACATCCAGAATGTTTTAGCCGATTGGGTATTGAGCCTCCTAAAGGAGTTCTTCTGTATGGACCCCCTGGATGCTCTAAAACAATGATAGCAAAGGCTGTGGCCAATGAAAGTGGCCTGAATTTTCTAGCAATAAAGGTAGGATTTTTGCTGCTTTAATGGCTCATTTCCTTCTGCTTTATTCTCCACCTTCCCTTCTTTCATTCCACCCCTTGAAATAAGAAGTAAAGGCATCTTTTAAGAAGTAGCTCACATTTATTATTATTTTTCGAAAGAAAGATTGGTTTAAGCTTGAATCTTCTATTTTTAAGATATGAGTAGTATTTTGTAAAACATACAAATTCCATTCTGTAGATACTGCATGGAAAACTAGAAAGATATTTTTCACGTACAGAATGTGTCAAGAGTTTCCTGGATTATAAATGAAGAGAATGAGAATTAAGTAGGTAAAGTCAGTTTTCTGTGTTTGCAGTTGGGACTGAAGGAACTGAAGGAAAGCTCAGAACTTTGAGATCTTAATCCTTGAAAGATTTTTGGTACAAAAAACCATTTTTTAAAATTTGTTTGTTTTTATTAGAAAATCAGATTTACGGAGAGAAGGAGAAAAAAAATCTTCCAACCACTGGTTCACTCCCCAAGTGGCCAGAGTGGCTGGGCCATCCTCTACTGCTTTCCAAGGCCAATAGCCGGGAGCTGGAAGGAAGTAGTGTAGCTGGGATATGAACTGGTACCCATATGGGATACAAACTGGCGCATACAAGGCATGTACTTTAGCCACTGGACTATCACTGCCAGGCCCAAAAAAGCATTTTTAACCCATGCATAATTTTTCATGTCTTTTTTAGGGATGCATTTAATTTTAAAATTAATTTCTTCCATTTGAGAGAAACAGAATGTTTTTATCTGTTTTCTAAGTGCCTCCAACAGCTAAAATCCCAGCAAGCCAATGAGTTCATGCAGGCCTTCCCAGGAGACAGCAGGGACTGGGGTACCAAGACATTGCCTACCATCTCCCAGGGTACACATCCTCAGGAAGCTGAAACAGAGTGGAGCTGGGACTTAATCCTAGGCACTTTGTTATGGGATGTGAATATTCCAAACTGCCTCTGCTGGAAATGCTTTGAAGACCTTTTGTAATATACTCATCTGTGTTGCTTCCCTTTTGTTAAAAAATAACAAAAGTTCAAGTTGATGATCAGTGCTTGTCGTCTCCCCCCTCCCCCCCCCCCCCCCCGGTTGGTTATAAAAGTAATTCAGGCAGTTTTGAGGAGGTGGAATGTATTGTGGAACCAGAATGAGCAAGAATTGTGTTCATCAAGAACAGAGGAAACTAAGAAAAATGGCATGATTTTTGCTAGGAGTGGAATTTGGTTGAGGCAACCAGGAAAGTGTAATCACTGCCAGAGAAAGTAATAAGCAAAACAGAAGTACCTTGGAAAGAATTGGTGCTTGAATATCCCTTAGCTGCCATATTTGGTACTAAAAGTGTTTCAGATTTTATTTATTTGTTTGTTTATTTTCAGATTTTGAAAAATTTGCAGAGAATTTAATAGTTGAGCATCCCTTTCTGAAAATCCAAAATGTTCCAAAAGCTGATAAGTTCTGTACGGTCATGATGTAATTCAGAAGGTTTTGGAGTTTGTAGCATTTTAGAGTCTTTAGGTTAGGAAAATTTAATTGTGGTATATATAATTTTTTTGCTTTAGGTTGAATTGGGCATAATTCTTATGGCTTTGGCTTGCTTTTTAACCTGAGCACTTATTTGCTTTGTACAAGTGCTCCAAGTCTGTGTATTCTCATATGAAAAGTAGGATGACATTTATATATTACTGTCTTTGGAGAGGATTATGTTTTGTTTTGTTTTTAAGATTTATTTATTTTTATTGGAAAGGCAGATCAGATTTGTAGAGAAAAGGAATGACAAAGATAAAGATCTTCCTCCCCAGTAGTTCACTCCCACGTGGCTGCAGTGGCTGGAGCTGAGCCAGTCCTAATTCAGGAGCCAGGTCTCTCACATGGGTGTGGGGTCCCAAGGCCTTGACCCATCCTCTCCTGCTTTCCTGGGCTTCAGACAGGAAACTGGATGGAAGCAGAGCAGCTATGACTCAAACTGGCACCCATATGGGATCCTGGCACATGCAAAGTGAGGATTTAGCCACTGAGTCATAACACCAGGTCCGGAGAGGATTATGTTTAAGAAAATGAGTGAAAATTTTGAGAAATGTAGCTCCCCAGCCCTCTAGTGTGGGCTTTGCATGGTGGCTTCCTCCCCAAGACGCCAGTGTGGGAAGAGGGGAGATAGAAGTACCTCCAGTGATAAGTCAGATTAAATTCTATGAGAATGACACTTCTGTAGCCTTCCTCTTGAATGGTAACTCAAAAAAATTTCATGCAAATTCAACTTGAAAGGTATTCTATAAAATAGCTGACCATTACTGCTCAAAAATGTGAAGGTTCATAGATGAACTTTGTAGCAGAGACTTAGCACATTATGAAGTAATTTAGGGGAATTAATTATTCCACATGTACCATGCTAATTATTTTACATGTTACACGTAACTACATATCAAAGTCTTCGTTACAGAAGTTTTGAGGTTAGTATCAGAGATTCAGGCATATTGTAGACCTGCAGTAAAGTAATTGAAGTTGAAAAGACTGAGTTCTTACTGTAACAAATAAGAGGAGAGCAAAGAAAAAAAAAATCTTGGAGAAGATTATAAATTCATGAGCAAGGACTTTGGTAAGAGGACACTTTTCTCGTGAATTCATCTTCCTGTCCCATAATCAGGAAAGAAACTGGGAAAAACCCAGTGTGCAGCTTGGCTGTGCAGTCCCGGGGGTTGGGGGGGTTGCCTGAGCCTGCCTGTTTCGTTGCTGTTCTAGATTGAAGCCTGTACAGGTGGATGTTAGTTCTGGCCCCAAACCCAGACCTCGCTACAAAGGATTCTTCTGTGTTTTGGTTGGTTCTTCTTTCACCTTGGAAAAATGTGTCCCTATCGGTGCCTTTTGTAGATCTTTACAGTGTTTCTCTCACAGGCTTATTGCCAATTGGGATTATCTGGAGTCTAAAATCTTTTGAATTTCGTTGTGATTCCTCTTAGATATTTGTTTTGCTTTAACTACAAAATTTCTCCAGAATTCTGCAGATATTGCTGTCATGTGTCTCATTTGCCTGACAGTTTTTATTATCAGTATTAAATAAAGACATGTACATCTGTCACTGAATGGTTGTTCAAGAATGTCTGATCATTCCCTTGAGTTTTAGGGCACTCTGTGGCCTGCTTCTCTGTGTTAGTGGAGTGATTATTCAGCTGGTTAAGCCTAGATATCATGTTTTTATGTTTCTGATAGAACTTTCCGACTGATTTTTCTATGTATTAGATATTTAAATCATTAATCTTCCTGTTATCAGTATGAAGCCATTGGCCTTTGCTCCATGAAGAAGAAATCATGTTTGGTATATATGCACCATCGAATGCTATTTAACCAGAAAAAAAAGTGAGACCTATCTTTTGCAACAAAATGGATGCAACATGAAGCCCTTATGCTTAGTGAAATAGGCCAGGCCCCAAAGCAATGATCTTATTTTCCCTGATCTATGGTAACCAATACACAGAGGAAAAAAAAGTGATCTTTATGAACAATGCTGACAATTTGAGATTCATTTGTATACAGCTTTTGTCCATAGTCTTGAGGAATAACAGGGGCTTTTTTTCCCCCTACATGCTACGTTTTAAAATCTTAAATCCTATGAATCCTATAGAATCTTATAGGATCCTATAGAATCTTAATCCTATGTTTATGAAATTATATGAATGTTTGCCATTGTTAAAAACTTTAAGAGGGTGGTAGGGAACATGGGCAGGAGAGAGGGTAGGTTTGGAAATATCGCTTTGTGAAATTTGTTCATTTTTCATTAATAAAATGATGTATAAGAAAATAGGTACCTTGACATTTAGTTTAGCTATCTTTTTAGAATCACGGTCAATGGAAGAGTAATGGCTGTTTCTTTCAGTTCTATGTTTTGTACTTCAGTTATTCCAGATAATTTAAAAGCCGTACATATGCATTGAATTATTGACTTTAAAAAATTGTCTTCATTCAGTGACTGTATTATGTCATAACCTTAAATTTTATGCAGAATTATTGTAAGGACAGCAACAATAAAAAAGTTGATGTAATAATTACAATAAAAATAGTGATACCAGCAATTTCCTTTCTGGTTATTGCTAGGCCAAAACTTGCTGAATTAATATGTAAAGCTTGCTTTACTGAGGATACCTTGATCCTCATTTTATTATTCCTATTCCTAATTTCCTGTCTACACTCATCTTTGTGTAAATATGTAATTCACCACATGTAAATGAAAGCATCTGTTTTGTTCTTTATATTATGAATGTCTTTGATGTGTGCAGTATAACATAAAAATGATCATATGAGGTGAAACTGTACAATGATGGTGATGAAGTTTCTGGAAAATTATGGCTATTGTGTAGCCTTTAATGATTTTGTTAGAATGTTAAGGATTCTCATTCCCGTTTTAAATTTGCATTTGGGTCTCCCTGCTTGCACTCTTTCTTTTGTCCAGCAGTGAGTCACATTTTGACAGCCTCTGGAGAAGCGTTTTATGGACATACAGTCATTTATTTACCCATTTCATGTTTTTCAACTTTAGATATTTCCAGGTTTTTTTTTTTAAGATTTATTTTTTTTTTTCTTAATTGGAAAGGAAGATATACAGATGAAGATGTACAGAGAGGAGGCGAAACAGAGAGGAAGATCTTCCTTCCAATAATTCACTCCCCAGGTGGCCGCAATGGCTGGAGCTGTGCCCATCCAAACCCAGGGGCCAGGCACTTCTTCCAGGTCTCCCACACGGGTGCAGGGCTCCAAGGCTTTGGGCCGATCTTGACTTCTTTCCCAGGCCACAAGCAGGGAACTGGATGGGAAGCAAGGCCACCGGGATTAGAACCAGCGCCCATATGGGAGCCCATATGGGATCCCGGCGTGTTCAAGGCGAGGACTTTAACCACTACGCAATTGCCCTGGGCTCATATTTGTTGTTGTAAATATTGGTTCTGTAATATTCTTAGGCATCCTCCCTTGTGTATATGTAGAGAACATTATTATATATTTTCAAACTGTCCTTTTTTGTTACATTTTTATTTTAGTATTCTTGAAATGATTCACTTTTGTAATAATTTCAAGTTCATATTTTTAATTTTTTAGCGGTCAAATCACTGACACGTGCACACACACATTTAAAGATTTGTTGATTTTCAGTCTACTGGTTCACTCCCTAAATGGTCCAAGTGGCCGCAGCTGGACCAGTCTGAACCTGGGAGCCAGGAGCATTCTCCAGGTCCCCCATGTGAACACAGGTGCCCTAAAGGGAGATCTTCCTCTCTGTATGCCTGACTCTCCAACAAATATATTTTGAAAAAAAGAATCGGGTAAATAAAACTGCCTCCTTTGTTAAAGAATTTTATGTTGGTGCTATTTAATGCTTCATTTTAACTCAGTATGATGTCTGTCGGTGGCTGCGAGGAAACTGGATTTTGCCAGTGTGAACTTTGAGCTCTTCTCATCTCTTCTCTCCTTTGCTTAACTGTGCTTATTACCGTGCATTCTAACCTGTTGATTTATTACCATGGTATCGACTTTCAGGATTATCTTTTCCAGTGTTTCAGAGCAACCTTTAAGGACCTGGTTGTCTTGGGTATCAGTGAGTTTGTAGCTCACACAGCAGAAGGCTACTTCTTATTGTTCCGGAGGATAGCAAGTCCAGGGTGCTGGCAGATCTGGTTTTCAGAGGGCCTGCTTCCTGGCTTTCAGCTGATAATCTTTCTTTGTATGCTCTTGGTGAAAAGCAGAGAGAAGGGCTTTGATCTGTGAATGCCACGCTCATTACCTAATTGCTACCAACTGCTTTACCTCCTTGTCCAATACATGATGGCTATGAATTTTATGTGGACATGTTCAACCAATAGTAGCAGTTGCACATCAGCATTGTTAATTAATTTGAAAGAGAGAGATGGACATCTCCCTTGCATCTTACTTGTTCACTCCCCAGGTGGCCATCATGGCCAGGATTCAGCTAGGACCTCTGCTGGGTCCCCCACAGGCATGGCAGGTCATGGCAGAGGAGATCACGTCTGTCCTGTGTGACCTTTGCTCTGTGCGTGGCCCATCAGGGACAGTAGGACAGTAAGATAATGTCATGAGCTTGCATGAGTCCTCTTCCTTTGCTTTATTACTTTGGGGCCTACCATAGAGTTGTGAGAATGTCCCTGTGGTGGCGATTCTTCTCAGATACAGCTTTGGTTATTGTGGACTTAAATTCAGAACACCTAAGAATGTTGTCTCTTAATGTTATCTTCTAAATTGGTCTGCTTTTACCTTTTGTGTCAAGCACCATTCCTGATATGTTGTAAAAACACAGAGGATTGGATAGACAGATGATATAGAAAGTACAATTATGTTTAGTCACAACCTTCTCTTTGTGTTCATATATACTTTTCGGACCATCGGATTGCTTTGTTAGAGACATAAATAATGCCCAGTGAAAATAAACATGCTAAAGGAAGTAGTTTAATTAAAACCAGCCTCCTGTGTTTGTTTTGGCTTGTTATGTTTTGTTTGCATTTTTCTTCTTTCATTCAAGGAAATATGCCTGGCACCATTTATAGAGTCACTGACTATTTATTTTCTTTTCCTGCAGGGGCCTGAATTAATGAATAAATACGTGGGGGAATCTGAGAGAGCAGTTAGAGAGGTAAGGTCTGGCCTTCTGTATGGGAGAACTGCACTTTCGTGTGGGTTTACATTTTGTGTTGGGTCACAGATTTTGATACTCTCAAATCCAGGTCCAAGTTTTTTATGTAGGCAAATATTGTTTTGTCATGTGAAAATACAATTTTAATCTAAGTTTTAAAAAAAATTTTAACATCTTCCCAAAGTTTTTTTTGTCAAAGGTATTGGAAAAGTTCGCAGCATTTGTGTTAACAGTACGTTTTATGTACAGAGAAGAGGATGCATGATCTCAGAATAGGATTTAAATCCTTTAACCTAAAAGTGCCCTTTGCATAGAATAGGCTGGGTGATGTATGAAAATTTCACTTTATGGCTCCTATTTACTTGTGCCTCAATAGTCATTTCCTCTGCTTGCCTTGTTTATTTCTGAATGTTCTTTCTTTCCTAAGGTTTTTAGTTATTTTTTCCTTATAATTTATTTGTTTTTCTTGGGCAGATTACCAGGCAGAGAGAAAGGTCTTTGATCCACTAATTCACTCCCCAAATGGTCAGTGTCCACAGCTGACCCTCTCCAAAGCAGGAGCTCTCTGCATCTGCCATGTGGGTGCAGTTGTCAAGGCTGTGGTGCACACTCCGCTGCCTGTGCAGGCCACTGCAGGGAGCTGGCTGGGGTCTGGACCGGCCCGGATGTACACCGGCATCCACGTGGATGCCATTGCTTGATGGTGAATGACTAGCCTATTAAGCCACAGCGCTGTCCCTTTTTCTTCTGTGTTCTAAAATCAAATCTTTAAATCCAGTGCCTGATTGATAATGTCCCCTTTCTGTCTCATACACACATATTTTTGAATTGAGAACTCTGAGTAGTCTTAAAAAAAATTTAACAGCCATGTTAAAATTATGCTCTTTGGTTGTTCTTCAGGCAGCTCCAGTAATTAGATATTTATTCTTTTCAGGCTTTCTAATGTTACCTTGAGCATTCTTCACTGCTTGATTCTGTGGGTTTTTTTTTTTTTTCCCTTGCAACTGTTTTCCAATAGTCTGTGTTTGAGGTCACTTACTCTTTGGGTTTTATATTGATGCCTTTGCTCATGTTCATAAATTTTAATTTTGTTCTTCTTTTGCCATGTCTCTATCAAGTCTGTCTTTTAGGATATTTAATCATTTCTGTGTTCTCTTGGAGTTAAGTTTCTTTAAAGCAGCGATTTGAAAATCTTGAAGCAGTGGAGAATTTCATTTTATACATGGTTGATTTCTGGCACTTTCTTAGGCATGGACATAATTCCCTTAAGTTCTTGATACTTGTTATATGACCATCTTTGCATTAAAAGATTAGTAGTAATCTGGCTTCATTTGTGGTTTCTAAGAATTCGAAGCCATCTGGTTTTTTTGATCCTATGGCTACATTCATTATTTGAACACCAGATGGCGCAATAGGTCAAGTTTTAGTAAGTCCTTTGTTGCTATCTTTGCACTGTTTCAGTCCTAATCTATGCCCCGTAGCCAGATTTGTCCGAATGTTGCTGTTGCTGTATTGTTCAAAACGACCCGGGGAAGTGTCTAAAAACGAGTTATCTGTCCCTAAAAATATCTTCCTGTGACTGAGCTAGGCCCAGACACCTGCACCCATTCCTGTGACCACTAACACCACAACGTTAGATTATGTCCAAAGCGCAGACCCACCCAGACCAGTTTTGCCTGGCTATAGGACTAAAGCCCACTTTGCTATGGTGTATCTACTGCTGAAGTAGACTGGCAGTGTGAGGCTGCTCCTGACAGCTACCAGTGATGCTAGGTAGTATGTATTCTGGCCATCATATAGCCCTGGTTTACTCTGTGTGGGTGCAGAGTCTCTGCAGGTGCTTACCTGGAGACAGGGACCATTATTCTCTGTTCAGTGTGGATTTTTACTAGCCTTGTACAATCCTGTGTATCCTCCCTTTCCCTCTGAGTTGGAGAATTAATAGATAAGGCTCCCTCACTGCGCAGATGCTGTGGGTCATACTTGGGACTCAGAGCCATAGATCCCATCCAGTCATAGAACACATGCTGGGTCTCTGAGCCTGATGCAGATACATGCTAAAAGAAGTCTGTCCCCCAGGGGTGCAGATCTATCCTGGGACCCTCTAGAGGGTTACAAACAGGAGTAGATAGGTTCTGTGGGAGGTTCAAGTCAAGAACTGGGTCTCATTGTCTCCCTAACACGTTGGTACATCTCACTCTGCTGCCCTCCTGTTATTTGTTAAGCTCTTACCATATCCCACCTTCTGCACTAGTGTTGTGTATTCTTTCTAAATTTCAGTACTAATTTATCAGTTTAGCCCTATGGAAAGCCATACATAAATGTGGGAATTGAGATTCTGGAAAGTAAAATTACCAACTGAAGGAAAGCAAACTGAGCAGGGTTTGCCTGAGTGTATTTGGTGGCTTAAATCGACCGGTATATGTGGCAGGCTCATCGTTAGAAGGACAGTCGAGGAAGGTTGTCTTACGTCTGTTACTGGGTCCTGGGCACCTGTTAGCAAGTGTACACAAAGTGAGTGTGCCAGCTGATGTATATGCCACCTAGATTTGATTTCAGATACAGTTTTTAAAAATGCAGACCAACTACAGAATTTTCTGGAGATTGACCGTTAGCTAATGTGTCGTATTTTCTACCAGATTTTCCGAAAAGCAAGAACCGTGGCTCCTTCCGTCATTTTCTTCGATGAACTTGATGCCTTGGCAGTTGAAAGGGGCAGGTAAGAAATACTTATATATACAATGAAATAATATGAGTTTTACTATAGTCCAAGTAACATTTTAATACACACTGTATTGGTAATATATTTGGGTAAAAGTTTTCAATTCATGTAGTTTTTTCTTTAGTACCCATTAAATTTTTTCTAGTTTCAAAATAACTGTAGTATCTATTTGGGACATTGGAGTTCATTTAAATAGCGTATCGTCTCTAGGGATACTATCAAAATTATGCTTCTAAACATGTAATTAAAACTGAACAATAAAAAACTGAACAAAGCTGGATTAAGCATAGTCACTTGACGTAGTAGAATACAGTTGCAGTAATACTTAATGCATACTTAATCGTGTATTCTGGAAGAAGCTATGTTTCCCAAAATATGATTAGAGAGAAGTGCTAATACTTTCATTGTTAAATCTTGTGGAATGGAAAGGATTACCTGTGATGTCATTCCAAAGAGACAGCTGTGTATATTTCAAAACTCTTTATAAATGTATGATTTTTTCCCCGATATAGATGTTTAATGCTTGTTGAAATCATACGTAATAGGGCCTCACACGATAGCATAGTGGTTAAAGTCCTGGCCTTGCATGCGCTAGGATCCCATGTGGGTGCCAGTTCTATCCTGGCGGCCCCTCTTCCCATCCAGCTGATTCTAGTCCCAGCAGCTCCATTTCCCATCCAGCTCCCTGCCTGTGGCCCAGAAAAGCAGTCGAGGACGGCTGTGGCCCTTGGGACCCTGCACTCACGTGGGAGACCCGGAAGAGCTCCTGGCTCCTGGCTCCTGGCATCGGATTGGCTCAGCTCCAGCTGGTGTGGCTGCTTGGGGAGTGAACCATCAGATGGAAGATCTTCCTCTCTGTCTCTCCTCCTTTCTGTATATCCGCCTTTCCAATAAAAATAAATAAATCTTTTTTTAAAAAAAGAAACACATAATAGAAATATTTCATGTTAGAAAATATTAACTTATTTATGTTCCATCAGATTCTTACAGTGACTAAAATTTTCATTCAATGTAAGTAGCAATTTGAATGGTGTTTTCTCTATAAAATTTACCACTGTCAGGCCACGCCGCCAGGGCCAAGAAACAACACTTGATAAAATGTACAGGAAGTATAAAATCTGAAGATCTCAAGCTTTTTTTTTTTTTTCCCTCTCATTTGTATTGCTAAAGAAATGTCATGGAGTGGTAAAACCTAGTGAAATTGTGCAGACTTGGAAGCATTTTCATGTCGTGTTGGCTGTTTTCTGCTGCCCTTATGTGATAGCGTTCTGCTGTGGTTTTCTCGTGACTAGTCCAAAAAATGGCACTGTGTAAGGGAGACCATTTCTTCTTCCCCAAATTTTAATGTATAAATTTTTACTATCTTTCATGTATTAATTTTTTTTTTTACTATTTAAGTTTTACTATTTAAAGTTACTCATAGACTAAAAATTTGCCCTGAAACTGAGAATGATAGCTAACACATTGTAAACTTCTATGTTTTCTGAAAGTGATATGCTCGTGCTTATAAGAATGTCTTTATCACAACTACTCTTGCCTTGTTTTCCCTGCCCTAAACATTTCTCCTCCCCTGTAAAAGCAGGAGGGCTCACTGACAGTTACTCCTCTTCACTCTGCTCTTCTAAGTCTGTTCTCAGTGTGTTTGAAAGACAGAGACATATTTTTCCTGTCTTCTGGTTTGTTCTCCAAAATGCCTACAACAAGGAGGGCTGAGCCGGGCTGCAGCTGGGTGCTGGCAACTCAGAGCAGGTCTGTGTGTTTGGGTCGTGGAGGCTCACTGACTCAGCTCGGCTCATGACCCACATCCGCACAGGATGGAGTCTGGAAGTCAGGGTTTGACTGGAGGCACTCTTATATGGAATGTGAGTGTCCAGAGAAGTGCCTTCACTCTAATTCTAGATACACTCTGTTCTGAAGAAACTTTCCTTCTTCTGTTTTTGTTTGTTTTTTGAGGATTGACATGGCATGATGGTTCGGTTGTCTAATCTTCCACCTGCAAGCAGCAGGATCCCATCTGTGCAGTTGCTCCATCCAGTTCCCTGCTTGTGGCCTGGGAAAAGCAGTAGAGGACAGCCCAAAGCCTTGGAATCCTGCACCTGCATGAGAGACTGAGAAGAAGCTCTTGGCTCCTGGCTTCGGATTGGCTCAGCTCCAGCTATTGCTGCCACTTGGGAGTAAACTAGTGGGTGGAAGATCTCGGTTTCTCCTTCTGTCTGTAAATCTGCCTTTTCAATAAAAGCAAATGATCCTTTTTTATTTTTAAAGATTTATTTATTTATTTATTTCTGGAAAGGCTGATGTGCAGAGAGAGACAGATACTGAGAAAGATTTCCTGCCTACTGATTCACTTCCTAAGTGGTCGCAATGGCCAGAGTTGAGTTGGTCTGAGCCAGAAACTTTTTCCAGGTCTGCCAAGTGGATGCAGGGTTCCAAGGCTTTGGGCCATTTTCTGCTGCTTTCCCAGGCCACTTGCAGGAAGTTGGGTAGGATATAGAGCAGCCAGGACACAAAGCAGCACCCATATGGGATCCCAGTGGATGCAAGATGAGGAATTAGCCTTATTTTTAAAAGACCTTTTTTATTGAAAGAATAACAGAGAGAGATGGAGATGTCTTCTATATGGGTGCAGAGAGCAGTGGCTTGGTCTGCCCTCTACATTTCTAGGCCATTAGCTGGGGGTTGTATTGGAAATGGAGGTGCTGGGATATAAACCGGCACCCGTACGGGTTTGCAGCACCACAGGTGGAGGATTAGCCTGTCATGCAGTTATTTCCCTTCTTTCTTACTGCGAGCTTGAGAGAAGGTAAGATTCTGGTGGCACTTTTTTTGTTTGTTTGTTTTTTTAGTTTAGTGTGTTATAATAGGAAGCTTATAGGAGCAAAACAGAAAAGAGAGAACAATAAAAACATGAAATTACATGTAGAACAACTCAGAAAACTGTGGTCAGTGGATAGAATCTGATACAAGTGTAGACATCATGCAGGTGGCGATTGTAAGACATGTAGTTGTTTCTGAGAAATCTACTTGCTGGTACTGTCAAATTTTTTTAATAGGTTTATTTATAATTTAAAAAAGTTGAACTGTTAAAACTTGTGCAGTGTAACATTTGACTTACATTAATGGTTTATATCCCTGAATTTGTACTTAGAATTCACACAAATGAAATGAGAAAACTGCCAGTAGGTGATTTGTGTACTTGGGTATCTTTTGACACTACGAGAGGGAAAATTATCTGTCGTCAGACCTACTACCTAAACATTGAAGAATCAAGAGTGGCTGGTATTGTGGTACATTGCTTGCCATACAGGCATCCATGTTGGATCTGTTTTGAGCTGTCTGGTAATACACTTAACGAAAGCAATGGAAAACAACTCAAATAAGTAGCCTGTGTCACTCACATACGAAAGCCAAATGCAGTTCCTTTGTCCCGGCTTGGACCTTGCCAACCCCTGCCGCTGTGATCGTTTAAGCAGTGAACCAACCAGCAGTTAGAGCTCTTTCTCTTTTTCTCTTAACATTTCAAATAAATAAAATAAATCTCTTTTTTTGGCGGGGGCGGGGGTATTAAGTAAACAGATAATAAAGAAAAGTGGAGCAACAGAGGAAATAATGTGTTACAAATTTTGACGAAGAATGTTCTGCATTTGTTGTGGCTAAGTACAGTAGCATGTATTAAATCTGAGTTTTTAAAACAGTATTTTATTCTGAACATTTACTAGAAATTAGGAAATTTTGGATTGGTTTTGCAGAACATACAGTTTCCTTTTTGCAGCTACTTTGGCATTAAAATGTGAGTTTACCTGCACGCCGCATGTACTGTGGACGTTTTCGTGGGTAATGTTCATTCCAAGCACTGTATGTTTCCCCAGCCTTCTCTGGTATTTTTGGGTCTCTCCCAAACCTTAGTGTTGACATGAATATACAATTGGAAGAAAATAAGGAAGTGTAGACATAGATGGTGGAAATTAAAACTTTAACTGACACTTAAAATACACTAAAATATATAAATTAAAAATGGATAATTAAGATACTGCTATAATAGAGGAATCATTCAAGAGGATAGAGGGCATTTTATTTTATTGGAGGAGTTGAAAAATACATTTTTCTGTGAAATAGGTGCATGTTCTATGAAAATTCTTACCATTGATACAAACGTACTAGGGTTGGTATCATTGTGCTGTGCTTTCCGGTACAGTATGTTCAAGGCAAGGACTTTTAACTGCTAGGCTACTGCGATGGACTCTATTTTTTCCAAGATTTGTTTTATTGATTTAAAAAGCAGAGTACAGAGAGAGCTCTTTCATCCACTGCTTCACCTCCTAACGGCCACGATGGCCAGGGCTGTTTGAGGCTGAAGGCAGGAGGAAAGCGCTTCTTCTTGGTCTCGTGAGGATGACGGGGCTGCAGGCAACTGTGGGTCATTTACCGTAAATTTCCAAAGTACATTAGCAGGATCTGGACAGGAAGCATCTTCATGTATTCTAACTGATGCCCACATGGGGTGGAATTTAATGACAAGTTTTATTTTGATGTAAAAATATTTTGAAATTTGAGCCATGTGCTTTTCACAGTGAACATCGTCCACCAGTTGTGGAAGACCTCTTACAATTACAGTCCTGGTGGTGGAGTTTCTGTCGGACCAGAGAAAGAATCTGTTTTCTCTATTAGCTGTGATTGCTGCACGTTCTCTGTGACAGCTGCTTATCTCTGTACTAGTATAAAAGTAGCCTGGAAAACAGGTGATCAAAAATAAAGTATTTCCCTAGTCAGAATTTGGTCTGGCTGTAGTATCTTCTGTTGTTTGGAGGTACGTGACGGACCTTTGGTGATGGCACTGACTGGCTTGGGAGTGGGAATAGTTTGGGCGGGATGAGGAATTCTTAAAAGAACAGAGAAATTATGTCTGGCTTTGATAGTTACTATAGATAAACTGGTTTTCAGTGACTATGCTGCCTATCTTTTGCAGATAGTAAAGCTTTATGAAATCATTTCACTAT